CCACTAGGAAACGTTTAGAACAATGTGAGTACAACATTGGCATGCAAGACTACATCAGAGCTAGCTAGGCTGCTGGTCGACCTCCAGCGCAGCACGGTCGACCGCGCTCCAACGCAGCAGTGCTCGCACCGCTCCAGCGTTGCAGAGTAGCGGCTCGCCAACGTTGCAAGCCCACGGTATGCCAACGCTGCAGCAAGTCGGCTGCACAGCGTTGCACCCGCACGACAACGGTGCACCTGCTTCGCAGATGCGCGTAGCTGGTTGGCGCTCCACACCTTGTCACGAGCACAGCGCAGACGCCTGGCAGACTCCACGCCAGCGACTGCGCCCACCAGCCATGTCGACCTCGGGATACCACCTCGGCGACACCCGCACACGTCGCACGGGTATCCTGGTCGACCAGGCAACAACGCCTGGCCGACCAGCACAGTCCGTAGCCGGCCACGCATGCCCGGCGTCCCCAGTCCGGCGTCCAGGCGCCCAGGACGCCTTCCGAACCCCCAGGCCGGCGTCCAGATGCCCAGGACGCCGTGCAGACCTCCAGAGCGGCGTCCAGCCTCCCAAGACGCCGACCAGATGCCCAGGTCGGCGTCCGGGCCCCTAGGACGCCCAGATCGGCGTCCAAGCCCCTAGGACGCCGTGCAGACGCCTAGGACGCCGTGCAGACGCCTAGGTCGGCGTCTAGCCTTCCAGGACGCCGTGCAGGCGCCCACGACGTCGACCAGGAGCCCGGGTAGTCGTCGCGATGCCCAGCTCGGCATCCAGCTTCCCAGGACGCCGTCCAGGCGTCCAGGACGTCGACCAGGCGTCCAGGGGGGCGTCCTCCTGCTCGGCGCCCTCCAGCCAGGCGCCCTCCAGCTCGGCACCCCTGCAGTGGCCCCCGTACCCACTGCTGCAGGTCGGTTGCAACCCCCGCACATCCGACCACAAGGTTGGCTCCGCCCAAGCGAGGACGGGGCCTAACAACACTCCCGTTGACAGCTTGTACTTGGAGGGACACAGCCGGTTGTACTCACCGGTCACTGCGACTCCTCCTACGCCGACGACGTTGAGACTCAGAGGTCTACGCAGGGTTATTGTTTCAGCCTGGGTTCTGGAGCTGTTTCGTGGAGGTTTACTCGGTCCTCCTCGGTTGCGACTTCAACGGCGGAGGCCGAGATCTACGCTGGGGCCCTTGCTGCTCAGGAGCTACGCTGGTTGACCTTTTTGCTCACTGACCTTGGTGAGCGGCCGAGCTTTGCACCGACCCTGTTTGCTGACATCAGGGCGATGATTCTCCTTTGTCGTAAGCCTCGACTGGAGAGCAGAGTGAAGCACATCGACGTCAGGTACTTCCTCCTTCGAGAGTTGCAGAGACGCAGGCAGGCTCGTCTGGACTTCGTGGCCTCCGAGGCCAACACTGCAGACGTCTTCACCAAGGCTCTTCATCCTTGTGACCACCGCTGGTTCTGTCTGTAGTTGGGCCTCGTTGAGACTGGGTTGAGTAGACTGCAGTAGTGAATGATTGTCTCTTGTCTTTGCTTGTTCTGTATATATTTGCATATACACTCTTGAACTGGCCTTGTGGCCGCTGTTTGCGCTCAGACTGTATGGTGACGTTGTGATCCACCCTGAGCTTTGTTTTGTCTTTTGTTTGTGACTGGTCTTGTGACCTTAGGTTGCGTTTCTTGTTGCTTGGCATTCCCCACTTAGACTATGGGGGTGTGTCAAATGTTATACCCTGTTGTGGGTCATGCTATATGGGGTACAAATAGTTAGGGTTAGGCATATGTACCCCAACCCAATCAATCCTACTAATTCCGCTGTTTTCAGTTACTGAGACTAGTGTACCCAACCACCGACCAGGTACAGCGTAAGTTACGCTCCGTAATTGTCGCCCTGACTTTGTTTCCTCTGCTGGCACAGAACCACGCCGCGCCCACCGTGGAAACCTGCATTGCTGTAATAACGACCAATGAGAGTGCGCCGCGCTCACTTTACACGAGGGGAAAGCACGTGATTTTTAATGTGGTGATATTTTCTCTCTCATTCCTACCTCCACAAAAAAAGTGCTCATTCCAGGAAGGTGGCTTACGTAAATCATCGCGCCTACTGTAAACCCGCGTGCTTTTGCAATTCCTTCTTGGAAACCATCCTAGCCTACTCCAAATCATCTGATTTTAATCCGCAAATCTCCGTGCATCCTCTCCAGGGTACTGTTTCAACTCGTTTGAACAAGGTTTGGTTGCGTTATCACTGCTCCATTCGGCCTCCCAGCCATCACCCATGGCCCGCGTCCCTTGTCTTTGCAGTTCCTACTTGAAACCGACTTAGCCCACTCCAAAGAAACTGAATTTCATATGAGAGTCTCATTGCAAACTCTCCAGGGTACTATCCAGGTTTCAGCCCATTTGAACAAGGTTTGGTTGTTTTATCGATGCTACGTTTTGCGTCCCAGATGTCACGCATGACATGCGTTGCATGTCATTGTAGTTCCTACTGGAAAACCAACCTAGCCTACTCCTAATAATCTGATCTTCATATTGGAGTCTCCTTGCATCGTCTCAATGGCACTTTCCATGTTTCAGCTCATTTGAACAACGTTGTGTTGTGTTATCGCTGCTACGTTCTCCCTCCCTGCCATCGCACATGGCCTGCGTTGCCTGTCATTGCAGTTCCTTGTTGAAAACCATCATAGCCTACTCCAAATCATCTAATTCTAATCTACGAGTCTCCTTGTATCCTCTCCAGTGGAATGACCATGTTTCAGCTCGTTTGAACAACATTGTGTTGTGTTATCTCTGCCCCGTTCTGCCTCGCAGCCATCACACATGGCTACCGTTTCATATGGGTACCGTTTCTCTAACTCGCAGAATGAAATCTGAGCATGGTGCTTGATTTAGGGCGTGTTACATTTTCTTTTTAGACATTTTGTCCAGACGATGGTCCGCGGACCATACTAAATACGCGTACGGACGGTTCGGGCCTCGCGCCCGGACGGAGGCAGGTCCGGGCGAGGTATCTGGAACATTTTTCCTTCTCGAAATTGAGAGCAGTTTCTGTGTAACACTAGATACTTGTTATTGAGGTTCGCTCAGGGGAAAAACACGTTACGTGACTTCGGATTGGGTAACCTTTTTTCGTTGAGAGACTCGTCAGCCAATCAAGTGACGGTTTGGTTTCACTGTCCGGAAGATGGACGGGAGTCATTCGGACGGTTATGTACACAAAAATTTGTAAAATGTTTCATCTCTGGTACGTTCAGCTGCGACGTCGCATGGTGGCAAGCGAAAACATTCGCATTAGATTACGAAAATAGATACCCTACAAATGTCCGGATGGCCCCACGGTACGGACCACGGAAGTGAAAAAATGTAACACGCCCTTAGCCTCATCGTACTCCATAACCCCCTGGATTTGTTGGCTGAAAGGAGAGTGAAGATCCGTACGCACATCCTGCACCATGACCCCAAGTCCCGCATACAAGCCCAGCGCCACACGAAATTTGCAGAGGATGTTTTCGTGTAAGGCCTCCGATCTAAGTGCAGTACTACCCTTCAACCTCTCAGATACGTCACTAACTAGGCGTTTTGAATTGCAGGTGGCTCAAGCAACAACTCAAATTTGAGCATACTCGTGGCGGACGATACACAGGCGGTCATGCAGGAGAAGTGGTTTGCGACATAAAGGCCCGGCTGAGAGACTTGACATTAGGGCAAGGATGGGTAAGAACTTGTCGCTTTGGTTAGTGACGGATGTTTATACCACCGGATTTCGGAAACCATTTCTTACGCAACTCTACCCTTCTATTTATCCCAGATTTAGAAGATTGAAGGGCGCAGACAAGTTGGTTCTGGTCTCCTTATGACACACCTGTTCAGCAAACTCCTCGACAAGTGGGGAGACCTGCTGGTGATGCTGAACGAGGACCAGATGATCTCTTTGGGTACGGGGAAGAATAGCGCAGAGCACATTAGACTGATGCTAGAGGGTATGTGCAGAGCATTTTTCAACCTACAAGAGGACGAGGGTCGTCCATCTATTGGAGCGGATGAGGTCGAGATGCTGGATTCTGAAGACGGATCTGAAGACTCAGATAATGGAGATGGTAGGACCGAGTCCACTGAGGCCAGTTCTGCACAAGTGGTTCAGGGGAGAAAAGATCCTAGAGAGCAGAAGGGTGGAGAAGCGCAACAAGGGAGGAGGAGATGCCAAGCACAGTGGATGATGTTAGAGAACTAGCGTATACCCGAAAAATACGACAGCAGGGTGTAACGACTACCAACCTCATCACAGTCCAGGAAGAAGTGACGTCAGGACGGCCGTGTATAGGGGGCAGAGGCGACTGCAAGGAGGTGGATTTTAGGAACCAGGTTCATGGAGAAGATGAAGGCGGGTACCAGAAAGTCCGACTTCCAAGGGCAAGGGGAAAAGGGAAGAGGAAAATAGACGAGACGGAGGAAACGAGTCTCAGCAGCCAGCGATATGTGTCCAAAGGGTTCTGCCACAATGAAGGCGAGGGCGTCGAGACACAAATGGCAAGAAAGTATGGGAAGGACCCAGTGGAGTCGAGGGACGTGGTCGGGATGAAGAGGAGTGATAACTCGGAGAGGGCGAGCGAGCGAGCGCCGCTGGTAAGAAGATCATATTTTCTGGACGGTTGCTGAGGGCATGCTCCCGTAGAAAAGACACCCAGAGAGAAGGAGCTGCTGTGGACTCCGTCCCGGACGAGCATGTCGCAGGGATAAAACAAACCTTGGACAACGCCGGATCTGCAAGTGCTGTAGAGGAGGAAAAGGAATATTGGGAGGAAAGGGTGGCGTAGAGCAATGAGGAGGATGAAGAAACAAATAAGGAGAAGGCGGCGGTTGAAGCAGCACGGGTCGCAAAAGCCCTGTGGAAAGAAGAGAGGAGGGGGCAGAGGCCGAACGTGTCACATAATCTCCAGGGAAAGAGGAGGAGGAAAGGAGGGCGCAGAGAGAGAGGGAAGCGTCAGAGGCAGCACAGGTCACATAGGCAAGTCAAAAGGCAGAGGAAGAAAGGGTGGATGCAGTCGCAGCAAAGGTCGTTGAGGCCATTGGAACGGAGACGGGGGATAGGGATGCCTCAGTAGCAGCAGGAGTCGCAGAAGATCCGAGAAAAGAGGAGGAGGTAAGGAGGGCGCAGAGAGAGAGGGAGGCGGCAGAAATAGCACGGGTTGCAAAGTTCAAAGGAAAAGGAAGAAAGGGAGGCCGAAGCAGCGGCATGGGTCGCAGAGGCTCTTCGGAAAGAGGAAGAAAGGAGGGCGTAGAGAGAGAGGGAGGCGGCAGAAGCAGCACAAGTTGCAGAGGCTAGCCGGAAGCCAGAGGAAGAAAGGGTGGTGGCAGAAGCACCACGACTCGCAGAGGCTAGTCGGAAGGCAGAGGAACAAGGGTCGCAGAGGCTATACAGAAAGAGGAGGAAAGGAGGGCACAAAGAGAGAGGGGGGCGGCAGAGGCAGCACAAGTGGCAGAGGCTGGTCGGAAGGCAGAGAGAGGAAGGGTGGCGGCAGAGGCAGCACGGGTCGCCGAGGCCATTAGAAAGGAAAAGGGAGAAAGGGAGGCCGAGGTAGCAGCAAGGGTCACAGAGGCGCTGCGGAAAGTGGGGGAAAGGAGGGCGCAGTTAGAGGAGGCAGTAGAGGCAGCACGGGTGGCAGAGCCAATCCGGAAAGAGGAGGAAAGGAGGGCACAGAGAGAGAGGGAGGCGGCTGAACCAGCAAAGTTCGCAGAGGCGAGAAGGAAGGAAAGGGAAGAAAGGGAGGCGGCAGTTGCAGCAAGGGTCGCAGAGGCTCTACGGAAAGAGGTGGAAAGGAGGGCGCAAATAGCGAGAGGAGCGGCGGAGGCAGCACGGGTCACAAAGGCTCAGCGGAAAGAAGAGGAGGAAAGGAGGGCGCAGAGAGAGAGGGATGCGGCAGAGGCAGCACCGGTCGCAGTAGCGATCCTCGCACCGCGGGTAGAGAGGGGCAATTTATGAGGTGATCGACGCAAAGTGAACCAGACTAGGGTGCACAATGCGGTGCAGAAGCTAGGATGTGCGCAGATTCACAGAGAGGGCCACAGTGGTACAGACGGATCTGCGTACGGAGAATAAGGGGTGAGGCACGCTGACATGGACCATCCGGAAAGCAGAGTCCCCAACAATTGGCAGTGTCGGGGCATGAGGGAAGGGATAGGTTGGAGTCTCGTGCTGCAGTGGAGGTGGAGTACCCATCGCATCAGTCAAGGGAGTTGGGAAGGGGCTACCGTCTGGGTGGTGAGCATAGGCGAGCGACAGGGACACATCGGAGGCAAGGAGACGAGGCGGGCCGCGCAGGACAAGATGACGAAAATACGTCACAGAGGGACAAGGGAGTCCCGCAGAGACATTGGGTGGGTCGAGAGCAGAGGCGTCAACTTGGATCTGGTAATCGGCATGATGATGTGCAAAGGACCGAGGAAGTTCGCGCATGAAGGGAGGTAGAGGTTGGGCAGCGGAGGGGCATAGAATCTGCGAGGGGCCATAGAAGCAGCGGAGAGCAGTCAAGGTCGGAGGCTTTAGGACTATGGCGAGGGGAGAGGCAGAGAGACGACCAGGGCCGTGCAAGGGCAGATGATGACCAACGTGCCAGAAGGCTAGCAACGCGGCACAGGGCGAGCGAGGAGGCTGAGGGACTATTCGATAGCAGGGGCCTGGCCATAGGCATGCGGAGGTGCAGAGATTGCTTGGCGTGCGGAGGTGCAGAGATTGCTTGGTGTGCGGAGATAACTCGTACAACGGGAGCTAGACTACGGGATAGGCACGGGTGCTCGTGTGATCTCTGCGTTCTCTATTCCTTAGACGTTTCCTTGTGCGCACACTACTTGCTAGTTCACGGGGAGAATCGGCAAGAGTTCCACTAGGAAAAGTTCACAACAATGATACAATGAAGTTGGCAAGGTAAGACTACATCAGAGCTAGGATGCAAGCAGGCCTACTGCCAGCGCAGCACGGTCGACCGCGTGCAAGCACGACTTGGTCGACTGCGCTCCAGCGGTGCAGAGTCGCGGCTCGCCAACGCTGCAGGTTGACGGCGTGACAACAGCGCAAGTCAACGGCGTGCCAACGTTGCCCCTGCAGTCCAGCATCGCACCCGCTTCGCAGGTACTCGTAGATGATTGGCGTGCACTGCTTCGTCATCTGCACAGCGCACACACCAAGTCCACCTTGTGCTAACGACTGCATCTCATCTGCCAGGTCGACCTCGGGATACCACCACCGAGGTCATCTTTGCCAACCTCGCTTGGGCGACCTTCGCGTGCCTTCGCGGATCCTCGTCACCCAGGTAACCTTGTCGACCAGGCAACCCCGTCAACCAGCCGCTCCCGTGCGTGCCCGTCGACCACCCAGGTCGACGACCACTCCTGGTCGACAAGCTCCAGGTTGACCAGCACTCCTGTCAGCCGACCACCCAAGTCGGCTACCCCAGGTCGGCGTCACCAAGTCGACGCCCTCTGCAGGTCGACTTCCCAGGTCGACCAGCCGCAGTTGGCGCCCTCCCGAAGTCGGCGCCCTTGCAGTGGCCCCCGTGCAGGTCGACCAACCCCATCGACCAGCTCGCCCACTGCTGCAGGTCGGCTGCACCCCTGCACCCGACCATGAAGTCGGCTCCGCCCAAGCGAGGACGGGGCCAACGCACAACTCCCGTTGACACTCCCCTGCCGCGTTCACGCTTGGGCCACCAGCCCACACGGCAGCACAGATTGGAGAATCGCTCGTCGACGTGCACCCAACACACAGCACGTCGTTCACCACACCAACCATGCAAGAGGGCATGGCACCTACTGCTGCACGTCATTATCGCCGTCGCCCACTTCAGCTAGGCGCACCTGGCTGTGTGTTGGGCGCACCTGGCCGACCGCGACGGAGCACCGGTTGAAGGCCGGAAAGTGTAGCGCCTTCGTCAGGAAGTCGGCTGGCTGCTCAGCGGTCGGGATGTACTGCAACGCAAACTTCCCCCGCTTCACCATGTGCTGCAGCCAGGCCTGTCGCCGCTCCATGTGCTTGAGGTTGCCGATCAACCCCACGCCCTCGGCGACTGTGATGGCCGACTTGTTGTCCACCCGCAGGACCGTCGGCCTTCCAGCGTCCAGCTGCTGGAACTCTGCCAGGAGGAAGCGAAGTCGGCGTCCCTCCTTGCCGGCTTCGACTGCCGCCACGTACTCCGACTCGGTCGACGACAGAGTTGCGCACTTGATGCGCTGGCTCGACTAGGAGACTGCGGCTCCTCGGTAGACGAACACGTAGCCACCTGTGCTCGTCCTGTTCTGCTTGTCGCCGGCGTCGTCAGCGTCCACGTAGCCGACCAGCTCCAGCGTCTCAGGTCCACCGCCGAACTCCAAGGCGGTGTCACGCGTGTTGGCGAGGTAGGCGAGGCAGCGGTCGACCTCGCGCCAGTGCTGGTCGCTTCTCACAGTGAGGCCACTCCCCAGCTTGCTGCATGCGAAGGCGATGTCCGGCCTCGTCGTCGTCGCCGCGAACTGCAGCGAGCCGACCTTGTGCCTGTACTCCTCCTCCTGTCGCTCCTGTGCCTCCTCGTCTCCGAAGGTGAGCTCGGCATAAGCATCGACGGAGACCGGCGTCTTCGAAGTCCGTCCGCCCTGCTCCTCATCGATGAAGCGCCTACGCAGCTTGTCGGCGTAGCCCTGCTGGTGAAGCCACAACTTCTTCGCCGACCTATCGCGCACGATCTCCAACACGAGGCACTTCTGCACCGGCAAGATCTCGCACAACTCGAAGGCGGCCTCCAGCAGCTCCTTGAGCTCCCTCAGCATCACCGTGCTGCTGCTGGCGGCGAGCAGGTCGTCGACGTAGACCAGCACCCAGCAGGTCACCTTGTCCTCGCCGACCTTGAAGTAGAGGGCCTCGTCGACCTGGCTCTTCTTCCAGCCAGCGCCGACTAGCACGTCGTTGAGCGCCAAGTACCAGAGCAGCGGCGACTGCTTCAGCCCGTACAGGCTCTTCAGCAGCTTGCACACCCGGCCGGTCCCGTCGTTGAAGTAGTCCGGCCGGTACCTGTACAGCATGCGGTTGAGCTTGCTCTGCAGGAAGGCATTCTTCATGTCGAGCTACATCGGGTTGAAGTCGAGGACGGGGACGATGCTAAGGAAGATTGTCAGCGTGACGTAGCTGCTCACCGGCGCTTACGTCTCGTCGTAGTTGGCGCCATACACCTGCGTGAAGCCCTTCACGACCAGCCTCGCCTTCTCACGCTCGACGGTGTCGTCGATGTGGTACTTCGTCGTCAACACCCACCGGTTCTTCATGATGTTCACTCCCAGCGTGCGTTCGACCAGCTCCCAGGTGCCGTTGCTGATGAGGCTGCGGATCTCCTCCTCCATGGCGGCCTTCACCGCCGGGCCCTTCCAGCTTGCCAACGCCTCCTTCACCGTCATCGTTGAGATGTCCCAGCGGTGCTCGGGGTCGGCCAGCATGTCGGGGTCAAGCTCCGGAAACTCGTCATCCTCGTCGGCGTCGTCATACAGCAGGTCGTCGTCCTCGTCGACCACGTCGTACACCGTGGTGAAGGCGGCCGGCATGAAGAAGTCGGGAGGCCTCCGAAGTCGTCTAGACTTCCGGGGTTCAGGCGGAACCTCCACCACGTCCTGGTCGGTGGACTCCTTGTCGCCCAACTGCTTCCCTCCAGCTTCAGTACCGCCGCCGTTCTCGTCGTCCTGCTGCACCTCAGTCAGCGTCCCGACCGACTGCTCCCCTGCTGTCTGCCAGGTCGCCGACTGCTCCTGGGTCGGCCGCGTGTGATAATAAGCGAACAGGAATGAATGAACTAGCAGTGAAATGAGTACAAGTAGGAAACCCTAGAATTGTGTACCCCCTATAGGCTAACCCACTGTAGCCTACACAAGCAGAACATATACAATGTTTGACACACCCCCATAGGCAAAGTGGGGGAGAACAAGGGGTCACAAGACCAGTCAAGCAAAGCAAAGCAAGCTCAGGGTGGATCACAAAGTCACCACACAGTCCGAGCACAAGAGCAGGGCCAGAGGCCAGTTCACATGCAGGACTACAGACATATATATAAAACTAGACAAGCAAGAGCAGGTATATATATATGTCACAGTACAAGTGAAGTCAAGAGGAGAGCAAGTGAGGCAAGACAGGCACAAGACCCAGCTGGGTGCAAAAGCGCTGATGGTCACAAGGCGCGAGTGCCTTGGTGAACACATCAGCAGTGTTGGCCTCAGAGGCCACGTACGCAAGTCGCAACTGACCATGCTGCTGCAGCTCACGAGCAAGGAAGTAGCGGAGAGCAATGTGCTTCGTTCTGTGCTCCAAGCGCTGCTCTCGACACAAGGCCAGCATGGCCTTGTTGTCTACGTACAGCACTGGAGGAGAACGAGGTGGCTCTCCAAGGTCAGCCAGCAGGTAGGTGAGCCAGCGAAGCTCCTGTGCAGCCATGGCCCCGGCGTAGATCTCAGCCTCACAACTGGAGCCGAGAACCGAAGACGAGCGAGTAGACCGCCACGAGACAGAGCCGGAACCAAGGCTGAAGGTGTAACCCTGTGACGACCGCTGCGTAGCCTGGTCGTCAGCCCAAGAAGCGTCCGCGTGGCCGGTAAGGACCACTGGACTCCGCCCTCCAAGCACTAGCCCCATGCCCGACGTACTGCACAGGTAGCGCAATACCCTCTTCGCTGCAGCCATGTGCTCTGGTCTGTGTCTCCTAGGAGCAACATAGCGTGCAAGAATGCTCAGAGGGTATGCAAGGTCAGGTCGTGTGCAGGTCATCAGGTACATGAGGCAGCCAACAAGCTCTGCATACGGACCACTCGACTCTACGGACTCATCCGAAGGCAGAGCTGAGAGTGAGTGGCGAGTAGGCAGAGGAGTGGCCTGAGGCGAGGAGTACGTGAAGCCAAAGCGCTGAAGGACCTGCTGCACCATGTGTGACTGAGTCAAGGTAATGGTGCGGCGTGCTCTGTCCCGAGTGATCTGCAAGCCAAGGTAGCTGCGCAGTTCACCCAGGTCTGTGCACGTGTGTCTCTTAAGCAGTTCGGACTTCACGTAGGCGAGTCCAGCAGTGTCCGCTGTGGCAAAGACCAAGTCGTCGACGTACACGAGGATGTAGAACGGCGGCAGTGAAGTGTCGGTGCGCAGAAACAGCGACGGGTCAGCAGTAGAAGGAGCAAACCCAAGAGCCGCAAGCGTAGTCCTCAGTGTGTCGTGCCACTCACGCGGTGCCTGGCGAAGACCGTAGACTGGCCGTCGGAGGCTCCACTGGGTGCCAGGAGGGAAAGTCCCAGTGAAGCCAGGTGGACGGCGCAGCCAGATCTCCTCGTGCAGGCTACCCTGCAGGAACGCAGTGCTGAAGTCGAGAGAGTGAAGCTCGTAGTCGCGCTGAGCAGCTATGTGCAGCAGCACCCGAAGAGTGGTCATCTTCGGGGTGGGAGAGAAGGTCTGAAAGTAGTCAA